GGTCCTCCCCATCCCCCTGGCCCACCGCCTCCAACCTCAGGCCAGGCTCCTCCACCAGCACCAGCACCACCTCCACCCCCGGCCCCGCCTTTGCCCTCGGGTCTATTCACCCCCTCGCCCACCACAGAGGAGAACAAGGGTCTGTCTGGGCTCACAGCCGCCCTTTCTGGAGCCAAGCTAAAGAAAGTGCCAAGGGTAAGGGTTCAAGGACTGTAAAGCTCCCATTTGCATTAAATTTCACCTGAAGCATGTTAGCACAATTCACAGGGTCAGAAGTTAACATGGGCTTGGAGCAAAAATGCCACCAAAATGAACAAAAATGCTACCCCAAACTCAAGATAAGTGGCAAAAAATGGCCATGCACAATTAAACTAAATCTATTACGGCTGTCACAATTACAGTGAAATGTTAAAATTAATTAATAGCATTAAATTTAGATCTGCTCATGTTGCATCACATTGCTTTGGTAACAACCTAGTATTCTGATTGCTGGAGGTGATTGGTTAAATTTAAGTATTTTACATTTTATAAGGTAATTATAAAAATTGCCCTCAGAAGGAAAAAAAATGTCCCTGTAAATAAATTCCAGAGGACAAATATTGTTCCTTAATAGAAAAGTTAATTTCTGACCCTGCACTGCACCCTAAAGCTGAAAACAACAGCTTTTCTTTTTTCTAAACATCATCAAAAATGCAAAACATGTTCAATACCAAATCCTATGTGTTATTGTAGAGTGATGAGCCCCTGGCAGGATCTGCGGTGAGTTCTGGTGGTGCCAAGCCTGAGGCATCCCGTGGAAATGGTCCTTTACCTGGAGGAGGAGGTCTGATGGAGGAGATGAGCGCCCTGCTGGCCAGGAGGTGAACTATGTGGTTTATCTGTCTCTAATGCCAGAATGATTGCAGTGATAGAAACAGAGCCTAGTTTTCAAACAATTATTAGTCTCAGAACGTACTAATAAAAAGTTCTGTTTTTAGGATTAATTATCAGAACGTTGTATAATATCAGACCAGCCAACCTGTACGCATTTTGACCTCAAAGTACGCTGGTATGATTTGTCACTCTAAACTACGCAAAAACCTGGTTACGCCTCTGTGCACGAGCAGTACTCAAATCAAGCAACAGCAAAAGAAGAAGAATTTGGCCAATCAGAGTGCTGGGTTCATTCCCCAAATAGAAAGCAGGGAAGATTGACAAATGCGTAAGGGCTATCCTTAAAAAGAGACAGCAAATCGACAGCAACACAAAATCCCGCTCGATCCCCCTTCCACTCCCGCCGTCTTTTATTTCTCTCCAAACTGGCCCTGTTTGTGTGTAGTTTACATTTACATTTAGTCATTTAGCATACGCTTCAATTCCTCAAATCGAAACTACAGTTCGCACTTAAACGCAGGAAGGGAGCAATTAAATTACATGCGCTCCTTAGCCGAGGGCAATTATTATAATTACTAGAAAGTGCAATCAAAAATACAAACGCAAACAAAAATATAACGTAGAAATAGGCAGAAAACGAAGTTGTCCGTGAGTTTACACGCTGAGATGAGAAAACGCCTCCCCGCTTATAACAAGCATTTGAAAAAGCAACACACGCCTTAATGACTAATGACTTATAATGAGAAGCGTTTCTAAACCTGCTGTCCAACAAAAGAGAACATTATAACATGTTTTTAGTCCACAACATCAGTCGAGTGTTTGAAATAACTTCCTTTTGTCATCTGGCTTCTTATCACAGAATGAGGCAGAAAATATATTCTATACTGAAAAAAAGACTGTGTCAATTAGCAAATGAAAATACCAGAGATGGCTTAAAGAACTCAGATAAACTATACATTGTCGCAGTTGTGTTTATTGTCTTTGTTTTATCATTCAAAACGTTTCTATCTTCTTTTTACTCAGCTACAGCGATAGCTGGATGTCTTTGTCCATATTAGGGATTTGATGGAACATCAGGAGCTCTATTACTTCTGTGATGCATATGTGGATTTTCAGCACGAGGGCCCCTCTGGCTACCAGCATGAATGAAACAGACATTACATGTGTTTATAGGCCAATCCATAAAAATAATACTTCTCTCAAAAGAAATTTGTAGATATGATAATCCTTGTTTTTCTTCAGTGTACAGAAGTGTACTGGAGTTTTAATCAAAGTCTACTGGAGTTTTTTTTTTTATTTTTTTTTTATAGCATTTTAAACTGCAAATCGCAATAAAATACTCTGATGTGCCAAGCCATCAGAACTGAACTGAACTAAAAACAGAGGCATATGGATTGATCCGTGGGCTAACTATATTGTTGCATACTATGCAGACCTGCTAACCTTTGGAAAATATTTAACATTAAATCTTGCATTTTGCACACTGTGCAATAACGATTTTGACATTAGTCATCAAGGACTAAGCTTCAGGTAATAATGTAGCTATCTAGGAATTGGCAGGTCTGTAATATCCAGTAATGAAATTAAATTTAAGATTCTACCATTGATTTGATACAGGAGAAGAATTGCTGAGAAGGGATCATCGCCAGAGCCTGAGCAGAAAGCTGTGAGTTAATAATGTTTCATTCAGCTGTATACGGTCTATGACTAAATCTGTACATATAGACTACTTCATTTTATTTATATGATCAAACCCTTTATGTGACTGATTTTCAAATTTATTATCTTTTTATTTTTCTATCAGGATGACATTGAGGCTACCATAACTCCAAAAGTGTCAGCCTGTAGCACACCAGGTAAGCGGGGGAAAACTATGGTAAAAACAAATGATAAAATGCAGCTAACCTTATAATAATGCTCCATGAGAATCATTGGGTTAGTCAAATGAATGATGTAACATTTAAAAGGGAGGTGAAAACATTTCCCATACCTTTTTTTTGTTGTTCAGTAAAAGTCTGGTATTTTGGTGCAGATTCATCTGTCACTGGTTATGAGGCTAATACTAATGCAACATTTGGCAACTCCTCTTTTCCTGTTCAATGAATGTCATTTGAATAATTTAGCATGTTGTTGAGCCTGTAGAGTTCATGTAATCTTTATTTTTATTAAATAAATTCCATGTTTGTTTGTTTTTTACTTGCAATGGGTCACAATTTTGTTGTCCAGTGTACAGTCTGGGCCTTGATGCATAACCATACCTTTTATGTGAAATAAGAGACTGCAAGTATCATAAAATGTAACATTCATTGCATTTTTTTCACAGATATGCCCAGAAAGCCTTGGGAGAGGACAAACACCATGAATGGTAGCAAATCACCAGTCATTGGAAGGTAATAATTTGCTTGTTATTGTTTTGATGAGTTGAATCAATGTGTGAATTATACCTCCACCAATTTATAACGCCTTTTGAAGGAAATGTCCAGCTTTTGGGATCTGAGTCTTCAACCGGTCCCGCTTTTCTTAAAGCTAATTTGAATTATTGATGCTTTGACTGCTTTGCATCACATGCTTGCGGCCTGGGGCCCCTCACAATCGCATGTCAGAATGCAGGCAGTCGGGTCCCGTGCTTGACATCACTAAAGCACAGTGCTGTTGCTTCTCATCAGATCTGTGTGTACCAGAGCTGTTCAGCATTTTTTGAAGGATTTGCTTATTCTTTTTGCTTTAGTATATGACATTCTTTCATGCATTTGCAAATACAATTATACAAATGGTTGAAGCACTTTTCAGTAGGGCTACACTTAAATATAAATATTTCTCCTTTCACCTGAGTTGGAACCAGTACATTCAGAAGATTACTATGAATATACATAGTTCAGATTCACGCTGTTGACCTCTGACCTGGTTAGTCTCTTTACTCTCACAGACGGGACACACCATGGAGAAATCAGATGGGTACTGACAAGTACTATGATTCCTTAAACAGGTATAAGAGACTAGTCTGAGAACTCTTTCTAGAATTTGTTTGCTGAGAGTGCTCTCTAAATAGGATGAGGGTTGGTGCAATGATTGTCTACGGTTATTCTTATTTTTTTTTTCCATAAACAAAGATTCTGCTGTTGCCAGCAGTATAATCACCATGAAATGGCATAAATAAAATACTTTATGCTTTTCAAAACTGTTGCAACTTTTATAATAAAGATGCATATTTAATATTTGGGTATTTCCTCAACTTTGAAAACCTTTGATTCTGTGGACTTTTTGAAAAAATGTAAATGGCGGCAGATCTGAGGGACAGTGGTAATTTGTGTAAATATATACAATACCGTTCAAAAGTTGTTGTTTTTTTAGAAATTAATACTTTTATTCAGCAAGGCTGCCTTTAAATAAAGTTACAATAAATACTTTTTTCTTTTCTTTTCTTTTTTATAAATGCTGTTATTTTGAACTTTCTATTCATCAATGAATCCTTAAAATTATATCACATTTTCCACAAAAATATTAAACAGCACATTTGTTTTCAACACTGATAATGAGTAATGTTTCTTGAACACCAAATCAGTGTGTTTGAATGATATCTGAAGGTTCACGTGACACTGAAGACTGGAGTAATGGATGGTGCAAATTCAGCTATAAATTACAAATTATGTCTGAATAAAAAAAACCCCGCTATTTTAAATTCTAATAATGTTTCACAATATTACAGTTTTACTGTATTTTTGATCAAATAAATGCAGCCTTGGTGAGCATAGGACACTTCTTTCAAAAACATTTAAAAATCTTGCTGACCCCAGTTTTTGAATGTGTTCTATATAAATCGTTTCCACACAAAATAATTTATAATCATTTCACTCATATGGATTATCATAGTTCTTAAAATGTAATAATGCATGATGGATTATCATAATTAAAAAGTGAAAGTCTGGGTCTTGGACAAGAGTAAAACAAAATCTATACATAAAAGGCATTTGAAAAGTACTAAATTAAGGCACGGTAATGCATTTCAAAGACAGTTTAAATATGATCTTCATGTAAAAAAAAAGAGAGAGAGAGAGAGAGAGAGAGAGAGAGAGAGAGAGAGAGAGAGAGAGAGAAGGAAATCTGTTTATTTTAATAACAATCACCCCCAATCACATAAAGTGTCCATAGTTAAGGGGAAGCATCAATTTTAATTTTTCTTTTTATTGAGAAATAGAATGAAGCTATGAAGAATTGACCGTAGTATGATTATTGGAGTGTCCTGATAAATTCTGCAATACTAGATGTCGTCAAATGTCATGCAGTATCAGAAAGCTGGAGTATTTGTCCACACTTGCCAATTCGTCCACCTGGCTCCAAAGATAACACACTTTCCCCCTCCCCCTACAAATGTGCTTTTAATTTAGTTTATTCTGCCAAATAACAAGGCAGTTATCCTCTCACTCTAAATGCAGAAAGCTTTGATACAAAGACTTCAGGCAGGACACGCTTGTACCTCACACATAACTTTTGCTCTGTAATTTGTTTCTGACTGTAAGCTGTGTCATAATGTTCTCATCCGCTTGACTTCTACTTCCTTTCTGCACAAGGCAACCCACTCTTCAGCATTCATTTCTTTCCCAATGGGAGAGATAAAGCGTCATTTCCCTCACTTCCCATGTCCCACCCTATGGTGATTATTGTGTTGGCAATAGTATCCTGTCTGAATCAGCTTCAGACAAGCATGAGAGTGATACGGCAGCTGCATTGTGTGTTTTGAAGTGTGGATTGTGTCTCAAGCTGTGTTTTTTGGTTTGCTGTGCTTTGAAATGTTTTCTATTCGGGGCTGACTGCAAATGTGTTGGTTTTGATGAATATGCAGCTCCTCTCAAGGAAATACAATTCTCATGGTGCTCATTTTCATGTCACCCAGTTACAGTAGTGGACGGAAATGTACTTAAGTACAGTAACGAATTAAAACTACTCCGTTACTGTCCACCACTGCCCAGTTATGCATATATGTATATCTGGATGTGTGTATTTCCTTTGCAGTACAAGGGTTTCAAGTACCTGAAATCTGAAATACCCTGCATTTTCCTCCTACATTTTGAAATGATCCCATGTTAATGCTGTGTATATTCTTTGAATCACCCATTGTGATTGAACAGTGTAGATTTACACAGCATCTAAAATGACTGTTAAAGCGTGTCACTAAACTTCTGCCTTGCATCTTGACTGAACAGTGTGACTAAAATAGCTTTGCTTCACGCTATTTCTTTTCTCCTTAGACCAAGGTCTACACCAACTCCTACCGGATCCATAAGTGCCAATGGGGTGCCAACAGAAGCTCTCGACTATGACAGATTGAAACAGGTACTTCTCAAAATTTGAGAAGAACTGAAACTCATTTAAACTTTTAGCCCTTCAGGGTTTTATAGAGGGGCCGTACACTTCCTCAATATGTTGGCAAAGTGTTACCAAAGCTAGTGGCACAATTACTCATTTTTCCTCATTTGAAAAACGTGCTTGGTATTACAGCACTTCCTAAAAAACCGAGAGAGAAATACTGGTTGACAGTGCACAGTTATGCTTTTGTGGGTGTGTGCAATTATAGACCTCTCTACAAAGGCAATACCTCCCTTCTGTATGAATGAGCATGTTAGATATGAAAGGCATATGTAAGAGTCTTACTTATCTAAGAACACAGTTACTCAAGTCACTCAGCTCTGTCTGCTTTGCCCAGAGAATGTTTTTAGTGGTGAAGAGTTACTTATAGCAGCAGTAATTGTGACTGAGTGTTGATGTTATTACATACATCTACTTACCTGGTGATCTTGTCATTTAAATGGTCAGGGCCAAGTGCATTTAATATAACAGCTTATATTAAGAACTCAAAGCATAGTTTTTTTTTCTTGCCACAGTATCATGGTAGCTAATTTCTCTTGTCTAGTGTATATATTCTTATCTAATATGGAATCTTACTGACATGAAAACAGTTCAGTGACATGCTCTTATAAGTTGCTTGACTCCTTTTGATTTGTGGAGTATTATAAATAATATTCTAATCTAATTACAAATGTATTGCTTTGCTTTTTAGGACATTCTAGAGGAGATGAGGAAGGAACTAGCGAAGCTGAAAGAAGAACTTCTTGATGGTAACATATTATTGCATTATATTGGCACTATATATGATGCACATTTAGCTTTTTAATACAATAGAAACATGAAAATACTTGACACTAACAGTCAAAGGTTTGGACACATTTGACTGAATTGGTTTCTTATTATCCTAAAAACAATTTTGATCTAAAGGCTTATGCTTAAATTCTTGATGTTGATAATAAAAAATAACTTAATATTTGAAAAATAACTCCCTAATTTCCAAAGGGGTGGCTAATAATAATAATGATAAATTATTTATTATAAATATTATTTATTATGCATTGATTTTTACTGTACGTTTTCCATTTTTATTTATTTTATACAAATAAAAGTGTCTTTGCAAACTTTTGATTACAAAGAAATGAGTTGGAATGGGTAATAACACGTGTCAAGTGTCCAGCATACAAAGGGTGCCTAATGTTTAATCATTTAAAATATAAGATTTATTTGTTTTTGGTCACTGCATGATTCCCATATCATCTTTTTGTGTTCTTTCATAGTTTTAATGACTTCACTATTATATTAAAATATTTTAAACATTGATAATGAACGAGTATGTGTCTAAACCTTTGAGTGTTAGTGTAAAATGGAACTAATCTACCAATCTGACGTGGACTATTTCTAATTCTTCTGTCGTTTTTTGTGTTTTCAGCAATCAGGGAGGAGTTGGGCAAGTCAAACTCAGCATAGGAGGATGAGATGCACCTGTATTTTTTATCCACAGTCTGTCACTTCAGAGGTCAGCTTCAGTTTAAGACACTATCTCAAAAGCAATGAAAATGCAAAATTACAGTTTTAACCAGTGGTGATCACAATAACCATGATAATTCTGGATCTGTTGAGTACGATGCTGGGACAGACACAAGTTTTGAGCGTGGGGGCACAAGAGGCGTAACAGCGAGAGGATAACCAGACGCCTCAAAGCGACGCCATACACCAAAAGCCCCGTCTTGAAGGGGGTCAGGACATAGTCTTAAGGAAGTGACTGTCAGTATGCAATGGATGACTCTTACTGTGGAAAGAAAATGACGAAAAAAGACAAACTATTACTGAATTACATACTGTATTAACCATTGAAGAGTGAAATTGTAAAACAAGCAGATGACATTCATTTTACTGCACATTGTTTAGCAAAGGGCAGGCTTTGTTTATGTATTTAAAAGGTGGTAGTGGTGGCGGTGAAGTAACGTTAAGTTGGCCTTGTATAGAGCAAAACCTTGAATCTGGCCAACCAAATGAGTATGGTCTATTGCTGCAGGACTCTAAAGCTTGTCTTCCTACTATTTTAACCAGAATATGTACATTAAAATGACAACAAAATAAACATTATACCTGCAAGTCATTCAGTCAACCTGTTCTAATGTACGCCATGACCACATCAGGTAGCTTACTTGCTCTTTTGGACGGTTTTCATTATTATTCTCTTTTCAAAAGTGAATGCTCGACAGGCTGTCTCTAATGAGCCACTGTTATCTGTATACCTTCGTCTTGTGTGTTTGCTAAGTGTTCAGAAAGATCACGAAGGACAATGCCTTTCTACTGTACATCATTGTAGCTCTCTACCAAAATCCTCTCAGCCAATCGAAGTTGAGGTTGACGTCAGCGTCGGCTCAGACCGTATCTGTAGATAGTGCTAACCAGAAATACTATGAACTTTTTATTCCTAACCAACTATAATTGCCCTTTTCAAGAAACTTTTCGCGTTTACAAGCACACTGTATGACGTCGACTGTCCGTCTTCTTCTTCTTCTTCTTGTTTTATGGCGGGTGGCATCCAACGGTAAGGTGCATTACCGCCACCTACTATACTGGAGTGTGGACCAGAGTGACTAACATAACTTTATATATAAAAAAAAAACAAAAAAAAACCTATAATAATTTTTATAAAAAAAACATTATTAATAATAAAATAACAATTATACTTTATATTATATTTATTAACCCAGTCTCCCTCAAGAATACAATTAAAGAATTATAGGCTGTCCATCTTCTCTTTCCTCATAGTCATATCACACTGATCATTGATCAACTCTCTCGCCAGGAAAGAACTCCATTTTGTAAAAACCCGATCGCTCGAGTTCAAATGCCTCGCCTCCAATCAACGCTCACGTAAACCCCCACCGCCGTCCAATCAGAAAATTCAAAAATTTAAAAACGGGACCTCCCAGCCAATCAGAGAGCTTCCCGCCCTCAAGGACGCTGGTAGGTTGAGCGGTCACAGAGGGAGGAACGAATTCAGAGCGGGGGCCAGTGTTTTAAAACAATATTCTTTATTTTATGAAGTTCTGTGGATGAGCTTTAGATTTTTAGGATATTAAGATCGACTGAAGGTAAGAAATCTTAACCAATTCACTTTGCATGTTTGTTTTTGTATGAGAATACCTTTATTGTGACTGCGTAGTTAACGGCACAGAACTAGATCAGCGCTCAGTCCGCCCGCAACTCAGCTTTTATGAAGTAAACATAATGTATTGCTATTAACGGTCACTAGCTCTATCTGCATGCAATATAATATTTTGTAGAAACAAGTTAAACTCTTTATTTATGTAAATAGTACAACTGTTTAGCGTTGTTTTGGTATTTGACTTGAATTAACAGACAGGAAACTTGGGCACGGCGCGCATTTATTGTTCTCTAACACAGCTCGTCTGTTTTACCTCACGAACTCTGTATTCGTTTTTTAATTTTTTAATGTTAAAATGATCATCTACATCGGACCTTTCGGTTTCATTGTCTTGTATGTGCACGAAAGTGCAAGTGACTCTTTCCACTCGTGGGCAAAATAGTCACGTTTAATAGTTAACTTACTTGACTCTGTGGTTTGGCAGAACATTCGTATTTAATACACTATTCATTAATTCTAACTGTTGATTTCTGTATCCGTTGTTTATGAACACTGATTTATTGTTGCTGTTTATGAGCCTCTCTCGCATGCGGACTGGCAATGGTTTGAATACATGACGTTTTCCCTCCATTCCTGTCATTCTTTTGCTGTGTTAAAGGAGCAGCATGTGAATCTGCACTGGGTGCCTTTGCATCACATGAAAGTACAGTGAGACACAATAACAATTTAATTTATCATATTTTGATTAAATATTCTAGAGTTTATATTCAGTGCGCCATTGTTTCGTTGGTTTGTTCATGTAAAATCACTTAATGTGGTCAGTGTCTGAAATACTGTTGATTTAAAAAGTAAAACCAGACTTTCTGTCGTAAGTTTTACTTTGAGTAGATGTTGGTTGTGATAGTAAAGCGCGCGTGTCGTCCTTATTTGCATAACAAAAGCACCAGACTCCGCCCACGCACAATCACTTAGTTTAAATCTTTTGCTTTATAGTTTCAGTTCAACTCTCTGAAAGCACATGGGATTTCTGCAGTGCTGGACTTCATCTCAGTGTTGGGGGTGTGTGTGTGTGTGTGTGTGTGTGTGTGTGTGTGATCTGGTTCAGGAATGTCTGGAATGTGTTTCTTTGGATTAGATGGTTTTAGGGTAGATGGCTTATGTTTTTATGATCAGTACTTAACATATGGTTTCAATATGAATATTTGGGTGTTTCCTGTAATGGAGAGTGTCTGCTTAAAAAATGTGTAAGCAGAAATTTTAACTTATATTTCTGGCCTTGCCTAAGTGCCAAGATGTGTTGGTGGTGGTGGTGGTGGGTCTTTACAAAATAATTTCTTTGCAAGTATTCTTAAACATTATTATTATTATTATTATTATGTTTTATCAGTATCAAGAGTTACTGTCTTTCATGACATGAAACGTTGCAGATTTGATGTTGAAATGTCTAATAAGTGATATCCAGAAACATTTTTATTATTTTGACACTATAACCCGTTAATTGTTAGACTGCAATATTATAAAAAAAAACATATTCTGCATTTTGAATACATTATTATTAGTGGTGGATTTATTATATATATTATTTAAGCATTACATTTATGGAAAAGCTTGGTTTTGGGTTATTCAGCTTAAATGTTATTTTATTTTTCATTTGAGAATGAATGTCTGTAAAAAGCTGAGTAATTATTCAACAATAATACAGTTGATAAGTAATTCAATTTTTTATTTTATTTTTACTTTTGAAAGCATAGTAGTGTAATTGTGTTTTAGGGCACTATTCTGTAAAGATGCATCAGATGGTTCCAATTATCTGTATATCCAAAAACAACAATCAAGTAGAGAAGTGTGAATTTATAAAAAAAATGCTTGTATTGATCTTTCTGTAGTGATTTTTTTTATTTTTTATTTTGATCTGTAGATAGATGGATAGTAAAATTTTTTGTCTGTAGATAGATGGATAGATGATCTGATCGGCCAGAAGTTGTTGATACCAGTGTGATAGTAGAATCCCTCTCATAAAGGCCATTGAGAGCTCAACAATAGTGCTGAATACAGTGTGGGTGCGTTATTCAGACCCATCAGCACTTCTGAGACGGCAGCTGACATCATCACTTCATTGTCATCAGGCCATGTGCAGCTACTCTGTTTTCCTCATTGGTTTACCATTGAACGTGTTTGAAATAGCAACAATATCGTGCATATTCATTACCGTGATATACCGCATTACCGAATACCGGGCACAAGTCTAGATGGGTATTTTGTCATAATTGTATGTGTATGTGTCTGTTCAGGATTCAGAAGAGGATTCAGTTTGGTGTTCGCGCGCCGTCTGAAACGCATGTGCGCGCTTCATGTGTGTGCGGCTGTGCACGTAGAGAAGAGCGCGCGAGCAACGAATCGAGTTCCCTTTCGCCTTTTCTCTCTGGAATTGTTTAAAATTCACTTGCTTGTGTAAATATGGACAAATGATAAACTTATACTCTATCATGGTTAAATGTTGCAATTAATCCGCGGATCACATGCGTGCCGAACCGTGGGGCTTGGTCCGTAAGGATCACGGATCAACTACGATCCGTTTAACCACTATCTCTTACTTAAACAACTCTCAAAATAAAGTGCTCTGTGACTGGAAAAAAAGGCAGAAATTAGTTGCTGTATATAACAAAACAGATGTCATTTCCCACTATGTTTATAAATGGTATTTTTCCCCCAAACCTTATCTTTCACATCAAATTCTTGCATTTTCAATTAATTAAGTTAGAATAATAAGACGCTGTAGAGTTGTTACCATTCAAATTAAATCAGTATCAACAAACTCTATCTTTCCACTGCAAAGGAAACAAGCTGCATCTGAAGTGGCATTAGATGTATTTGTTTACACAGACTGTTTGATGAAGCTGAGAGGTGCCATAAATGAATTTACACCACAAAATTGCAAATGCATAAATAATTTTATAAGATTAATGTTTTAAATAATTTTTTGAACATACAAGAAATGTTGGGAAAAATGCAATGATATTTTAAAATATGAAACCAAACCACCAGTAGGTGGTGGCAAATGACTGTTTTAATGAGTGAGTAATTTAATCATTCATTCAACCGTTTCGTTCAAACGGCTGATTCATTCAGAAAAAGGAATGTGACTGTCTTTATGAATGGGTTACTGAATCATTGACTCACTCGATTTGTGGATTCATTCTGTAAAACACCACTGTGTTGTTCAGAGTCACACAACAGTTCTGGCACGACATAAATACATCTTCAGCCGCCGTTTACACTGAATGCAATAAAATCAAAATCATTCTCGCGCGAACATTTTTGGTGGCCAAGTTTCAATGCTTCCCTAGTTATTTTTGTTATTGATGTTTTATTCAGGCTTCTTGTCCTTTCGGGCAAATACAATTCTCTCTCACTTGCCCCTTTAAAAAGTCTACTTGTTCCAGACAAGCATTAAAGGTGCAATATGTAAGATTTTTTTATTAAAATATCAAAAAACCACTAGAACAGTGTTATATATTTTGCTGTAGTGTTGTCACGGTACCAAAATTTCAGTATTCGGTACCAATACCAGTGAAAATCCACGGTTCTCGGTACCAATTTCGGTACCAAAGCAAAACACAAAAACATGCTAATTGAACAACATTTTTATTAATAACGTTAAACAAAAATTAAATGTACAAAACCAATGCCATTCTTTATACTTATTTAAAAGTGTTTCAAGTTTTCCCACAAGTAATAAAAGTAAGAAAAAATCAACCCGTGGACATGAAAAACAACCCGCGGCAACAGTGTTAAGCAGCCCAATTCTGCGGGAAAACCGCAGACTTGGCAACACTGGAAGAAGATAGCTTTCGGATAGCTCATCAAGAACCGGGTTGACCGGGTACTCGGTACCACCGGTACTTAAAAAAACCTGGTACCGTAACGTTTTCATTTTTTTAGTACCGAATTGGTACCGAAATACCGGGTCTTTTGACAACACTATTTTGCTGACTTGTATACTTACATTATCCCAAATGTGTCGAACAATGTTTAAATCCAGAGAAATAAGCAATTTTAAAGTGACACGGACCGTGTCCATAGTGTCATTGTGTGTCCTGTGACGACCGCACAGAGTAGCATTATAACAGAACTTTCAAACGTATCTAGTATGATAAAACAGCACTGCTTTATCCCACATACGCACGACCAGAAGGAGCGAAAGTGCTAAAGTGTGGCATAATAAAAGCTCCACTGCTTTCGAGCCGTGTGTCACTCTCGTCTCTCATTAGCAATTGCTTCAGCAGCCTCGTTTCGCTTCGACGGCTTTCCGCCTCACTCTGCTTCATACTACGATGTTAATAAATCTTTAATACATTAGCTCATCCATGAACATGATTTCTGTCTGAGTCCCGTCGGATTGCGTCGGCTGTGGGGATGAAGACAACAACTCCCATGATTCCACACTCAGTCACGGCATCACCAAACTACGCCTTTGTTTCTTTGTTTTGAATACATGCCCTCTAGCGGTGAAAACGTACATATTGTACCTTTAATCGAGCCCTGTTCCCTCACGGTTTACTTTGGCCCTACATGTATTACAAATTGCGAACTTTGTGTCTTCTTCACTCACAGTGAAGAAATTCCACGCTGACGACATGTTTACATGCGGATGTTAGCGTAGGTGTGACGTCAAAACAGACCAGCTCGGAATCGGCAGACTGGCCGGCCGTTCACCAGTCCAGGCCAATCATGCAGAAAATCGGCTAAATCCAGTCCCTGGCGGTCGATCGGTGCATCTCTAGAACTCAATCATGTCATTGTACTTTTAGTGGAGACAAAACATGTTGAATTGGTTGGGATTCAGGTATACTTTATCTTGTGTTCATTATTTTGTAGGAAAACCAGAATGCCGACTTCAAGGTTTCAGATTGGAGATACTGTAATGGGCCGCTGGCCTGGCAGTAACCTTTATTATGAGGTCAAGGTGCTGAGTTATGACAACAAGACTCTGCTCTACACCGTCATCTACAAAGATGGTACTGAACTGGAGCTGAAGGAATCTGACATCACGGTATGAATGAATTGAGAATGATTCAAAGAGCATCTTGTGCTTTTCTGGAAGAATGAGCACCTGACTGTCTGTACAAATGAGTTCACATAATCAGTGACACAAATTTACTTATTTGATTAGTGACCTAGAAATTGTGCAGAATATTTGTATTAGTTTGTCATAATATTTCTTCAAATGTTTTTAAATCCTAAAAATTGTGTAAATTCCTAGGTTTTAAAACCAGTTATATAGATATTTAACTGAACGACATTATGTAACATTAGATGAACTTGCAGTGTCTTGTGGATATTATTTTTCTTTATTGCAGAGCCTGACAATATTTAAGCAAGGTGTTGCACGCTCTCGGTCCAGATCCCGCTCTCGCTCACCAGGACGCCCACGTCGCAGTCGTTCCCGTTCTCCAGCTAGGACGTCCCGCCGATCTTCCTCTCGCACCACAGATGTGCGCAAGGAAAAACTCAAAGAAGTGCTGGAGGTCCGACTCACTCCAGTGGTAAGGAGACTTGTTTGCTAGGACAGAACAAACACAAACTCTCTACATTTAGGTCTTTCTTTCTCTCTCTCTCTCTCTCTCTCCCCCTCCCTTTCATGCTTGCCTTTCATCTGATATTTAGCATGTTCAGAATATTAAAAAGTTTAATATATAGTATCAAAAAAAAAAACATTAAGCCTTTGTAAATGCCTTTGTAAAGTTGTAAATGTTTTTGAAAGAAGTCTCTTATGCTCACCAATGCTGCATTTATTGGATTAGAAATAAAGTAAAAACAGTAAAATTATGAAATATTACTACAATTTAAAATGACTTTTACATTAAATCAAAAATTTTGTAAAATACATTTTATTCCATCTATGGAATTTTTTTTTGTTGATTACAAGTTTAGGAGTTTAATCTAATTTAAAGCAGTTAACTCAACCATTTTAATACTGTTATCTCATTTGTTTTCCTCATGGGTTCACCTCACATGTCCTTGACTGTCATCTGTTTCAGCCGATGACACACGAGAACAATAGCAACAGCAAAAATGAGAAGAAAGAGGAAAATAATACAGCTAATACAGCTTCCACAATCACTGAGGTATGAATACATCATGGATTCACATTTCATTAATGTCTTAATTACTAGTAACAATAGAACCTCCTTAATGTTTCCTGTCAGATATGTTAGAAACTGCTCTAGTAAAGGCTGGAATGTCATGATGCATGCATGTTGTGCCTCTCATGTGTGACAGGAGCCCATTTAGTTGTGCACACAAAGCTATAGCTGACTGTGGGCGCTGTTTAATCATACCCTCACGCTTTTCAGCATGTTTCTCCTCATGGGACAATTGAATGGGCTTTACAAAGCATGACCAGACTTTACATGGGCTTTACATAGCATGACTATGTAATCCTAATGTTTCTTTTCTTGACTTAAACTCATGGCAAGATTGATTGCCGCTGAAACTTTGTGCTCAAGCATGACACTATTGTATTCATAACCTGGGAAGCAGTGGCTGTAATGTGGTCGTGAACATAAAAATTACAGTTGAAGAGTTTGGGGTTTATGTGATTATTTTTACATGTTTTTGAAAGAAGTCTTTTATGCTCACCAAGACGGCATTAATTTGATTTAAAAAAAAAAAAAAAAGTAAAATATTATGACATATTTAAAATAACTTTTATGTTTTTCTTTTAAGTGCAATTTATTCCTGTGATAACAAAGCTGAATTTTCAGCAGCCATTACGCCAGTCTTCAATGTCACATGATCCCTCAGAAATCATTCTAATATTTGGTGTTCAAGAAACATTTCTTATGGTTTTGAATGTTGAAAACAGTTGTGATTTTTGTTTGAAATAGAAATATTTTGTAACATAAATGTCTTTACTGTCACTTTTGACCAATTTAATGAATAAAGTATTCATATTTAGAATGCTCTCTCATTGTAATGTTCTAACAGGAGAAGACAGAGACTGAATCGGAGAATCAGGCAGGTGGGCGCTACAATCTACGGCGCAGGAAGGATCAGGGCGATGGCAAGACAGTTGAGTTGGAGCAAAAGACAGAGACGGAGGTATTAACGCAAACTAAACCACCCACTGCCATCAAGACAACTGATCTGGAGTTCGGAGGAAGAGTTGGTGAGTCTCGGCAATCTAATGTGATTTTGGACTGTAAATATTCACAGCACAAAACATATTAACGTGAATAATTTTACTACAAATAAAACGCAAAAAAAAATTAGAAGTGTAAGTCTGCAGCAAAACAAGCAAGAAAATTAAACCAGTTATTTCTGTGCATTTAAATCTGAATAGCTTTGATTATTTCTGTGCATTTAAATCTGAATAGCTTTTTCCATGATATTTAAAATAAATCATTATTAGAATTAAATGCTTCTATTTAGGGCTGTGCGATTTGGGGGAAAATATCAAATTGCGATTTTTTCGCCGCGTGGGGCAGAGAGGAGCGAGTATGAGAAGCATTCACAGACACAGGCTGTGTGTGCGCTCTTCTGAATTGGGAATAGCGAACATGCATCATAAACTTATTTCAAATTAATCTGTTGGGGAGATAAAATGTGTAAGATAACGTTCACGTACTAACAAAAACATCTAAGAATGTATCTTTTATTCTCTAGTACTGAAAACAGAACCGATAAGGGAGCTTTTGATATGCGCTGTGACGCAGCTCTTGCAAATTACCTTTTTTGTTCGTTGTCTGTCATTTCGAAGCTTAAGTTGCATACGGGTTTTTTTAGTTTTAATTTGCCTAACTATCGATCTGACCCAGTAGACGCCATAATCCCACTCTGTATCTCTCCCGTCCCGCTGTCCGTTTTTGTTTTTGTTTTTTAATGGTGGGTGTTTACGCAGTTGGCTAGAGCAGTGCTGATTGGGGAGAACGGAGGTGCGCTCACTCTTGCCCAGGGCAAGTAAGACTGCAACTCAAGGCTGGCAGTCATGCATATGCTCTGGAACATCGCAGGCTTTGCGATTAGGAAATCGCAACGTCTCAAATCGCGATTTCGATTCGATTTCGATTAATCGCACAGCCCTACTTCTATTTCCTCTTGTCTTTCAGGTGTGTTTTTCCTGATGTTTCTGTTGCCTGTGGCTGTGTTGGCATTGCACATTCTCTGTGGGCAGAAGGATGCCAGTCTCCAGAGCTTCCCTCTTGAGATCCCTTCCCTTCAGTCTCTCTGGGACTGGCAGGTCTTTGGCATCGTCCTGCTCTGGCTTCTCTTCCAGGCCGTTCTCTCCCTGCTCCCTGTCGGAAAGGTACTGTCCACCAATCACATGACTCCCTGTGACCCAGGATTAGGCACATGACCACATAACTCTGTGGCTCTCATTTCTGCTTTGCCTGTTAGCTGTAGTAAAGCAGGCTAGATTAGATTAATCACTATTGGTGGCATGCAGATAGAGAGCCTTGCTGGAAAACATCTGGTTTCGTTTTCCAGCCTCTTAAAGGTAATTAAGATAGGATCTGAAAATTGTAGTGTGTTTCCATGAGTTTAAATAGATTATTTCAAGGGTTTTTCAGAAATATATAGGACCTGATTGCCTAGCGATTAATATTGAGTATGTTTGTGGACTTTTTGATAGGGCTGGGCAATGCTTTATTGTATATTATATCTACAGCATAATATGTGACCCTAAGCAGAAAGATTTCGTTTGATGCATCACATCCACTCTCATCCAGGCTAGGCACACTGTAACTATTAGTGATCGACCGATACATCGCCTCGGCCGATATTTGGCATTTTTCAAATATCGACATAGGCCGATAAGTTTTTCTGTTTGGCTGGTGGGTTCGAGGCGGGACCTTTTATTTTGACGGCGCTGAGAACGGCAGCGCCTGAGCACACAGCACACACATTCTCCCTCTTCATTGTTTGCTGTCGCCGTTTAACAGTTCTGTCTAATACAGATAGAATAGATTGATTTTGTCTAATAGTCAGATAGAACTGTTAAAGGAATTAAAAGGTATTATAATGATTGCTTTTATATTATTAGTAATAGAAAGGCAAACATAATACGTTCTCGTTTACCGTCAGCATTCAGTAAATACGCATTTATATCATTTAAACAAATCTTTGAATGTCTAATAAACATTTAATTCCACAGACCTTGCAGACTCAGTTGAATACAGCTGTGAGATCTTGTGAAGTGTGCATTTGTATCCTGCAAGATCGCTTTGCCAGACTTATCTTTTGTTTATGAATATTACTTTGGATTGTGTCCCTTTTATTTAAAAAAGTATTAAGGTCACTAGATCACAGAACAAGAGATGTTACTAGATGGTTATGTAATATGTCAAATATTTGGGGATTACTGTATATCTTGATGTAAGATTTTAGTCATAATGATTGAAATATTGTGAAAATTCTATGCTGCAAAATACAAAAATTAATGTTAAACTTGTTTTTATCATTACAGATAACATTTCATTACAGAACTATACCATTTGACCCATTGGTGTTATGTTAGTAAATTATATACTATTATAGTATTTATTAATATTTTGAATTAGTTTTTGTTCTTTTTTTTTTTTCATTTTAGTTTTAGTAATTTTATGTGCTTTTGCCATTTTTAGTTTATATTTAGCTATTTAGCTTTATTGTTTTTATTTCAGTTTTAGTAATTTTAGCACCTAATGAGTATATAGTAAGTATAATATAATAATTAGTTCTTCTTAGTATTTACTTAGTATTTGATTTCAGTTAATTGCCAATGCAATCTTTTCAGCTAACACTTTATTTTTGGTTTATTTCAGCTTTATTTGATTTAACAAAAAATTTGTAGTTTTAGTTAATAACAACACTGATTAGTGGTCACATGTAAATCATTCATCTCTCTCCATCTCTCCACCCTACAGCTCGTTGAAGGAATGCCTCTCAAGAATGGGAAAACTTTGAAATACAGGATTAATGGTTCGTCTTCAAAATGTTGATGCTTTTTATGTTGTCATTTCTAATGTCATAATTTAAATGACTCCCATTTAAAAAGCTTAAAATGAGGCATTTTTACATTTGGTTTTTAAAACTTTACTGCTCCGATAGTTGTGAGCGAACTGTTTAATGATCTCTGATTGTGTTCTGCGTCAGGTTTCTATGCACTTCTCCTCACGGCTGTGGCAGTAGGTGTGGCTGTGTATCAGGAGGTGGATCTCAGCTACATCCATGCTCACTTCCTGCAGTTCTACACCTCGGCCCTGCTCATCGTAACTCTTCTCAGCGTCTACCTTTTCGTCCGCTCTCGCTGGGCGTCTGAAGATGAGCTCGCTCCTGGAGGCAACTCTGGTATGATGCTTAGTGTAAAATCAGGCTGCATTGACTGTATTTTCCCAAATTAGCTCTGGGTATTTTTACTTCAATGGCTTTTAAAGTGACTAATCCCCATTATTGATTCCCATTAAATGATTATCCAGAGTTGTCATATAGTTCCTAGTACTTAGTTTTCGCAGTTCTAGTCGGGATAGAGCAATCACAGTTGTTTATAATTACTAAATAAGCCTTCTAACAAGATCATTTTATAGAGATTGCAAGGGAGAATTTCCATTTATGTTAGCTAGAGTTAATAGATTTAAAAGATTATACTTGTTCTTTTTATTCCTCTAGGCTACATTATCTATGACTTCTTCATGGGCAGAGAGTTAAATCCCTGCATCAAGAATTTCGATATCAAGTTCTTCTGTGAAATGCGTCCAGGCCTGATGGGTTGGGTGAGTTTTGTTACTGTTTTTAATTTTCCCTGTGATGGTTTATTTTGGTTAGACTGATGTTGTAATCGCTCCCTCTTGTGATCAAACATTTATGGTCAAATTTGCAGGATGAAGTCAGTAACACTCAGTTTTCATGTGATTCCTTAGTGTGCTATATTAAACGGTTAGTTCTTACCGATTGAATAAACATAATCATTGCTTGTTTCCATAGGTATTGATCAACTTCGCAATGTTGCAAGCTGAAATGAAGCACCAGAATCTAGAGAATCCCTCTCCAGCAATGCTCCTGGTCAACATCTTCCAGCTACTGTGGGTTGTTGATGGCTTTTGGCATGAGGTACAACAACTGTTTTACAAATCAAGCACAATTATTTCTTAATGCAGTGTGGAAGCCATAAACTGATTGTAATTGAATCACTCTGTATTTCAGGAGAAACTTCTGACCATGATGGACATAGTGTACGATGGCTTCGGATTTATGTTGACGTTTGGAGATCTGACTTTTGTTCCCTTCACATTCACCTGTCAAGCGTACTATCTAGTCAGCCATCCCAATGAACTCTCTGTATTCTGGATCATTACTCTCATCACTATGAATGGTGAGTTTCTGCCATGTTTTTATTTTTTTTTTATCAATTTATCTTAAGCTACACTAGAAAGATGCTAATGTAGCTTTTAAAGAAAACAATATCAATATGCTCAGTTTTTAACTTCTCTAACAGGAGTTGGATACTATATTTTCCGGAAAGCCAACTCTCAAAAGTTTGCCTTCAGAAAAAACCCTTCTGACCCGGCAGTGTCTCGTAAGTGTTTTGAAACACATTAACCAAACGAACAAACATCAAATGTTAAAACTGTTTGGTTTAAATTGTCTTTTAAATCTTATCAGACCTGAAAACCATTCCTACTGCAACTGGAAAGAGTCTTATTGTGTCTGGTCTCTGGGGGTGGGTCCGTCATCCTAATTATCTGGGTGACATCATCATGGGTTTGGCTTGGTCTCTGCCTTGCGGTAAGTGTTTGACTTCATTTCACCTTTCTGATGAAGTGAAGCTGTCGTTTCAGTCTGTCTTGACTCAATCTTGCATTTTATTCTTGATTTTTCTATAGGATTCAACCATTTGATCCCATACTTCTACCTGATCTACTTGTTCACTCTGCTGGTGCACCGTAATGCACGGGACGAGTGTCAGTGCAGGAAAAAGTATGGCTCTGCGTGGGAAGAGTACTGCAAAGCTGTCCCGTACCGCATTTTCCCAGGGATATACTGAGGACTCACAGACTCAGTCTGTTACAGACACTCGGGGGAAATAAAACTTTCCTCAGGATGACCTGGCTGAACATCAGACGTGGGAATGAGTTGTTAGCGGCTTGGCAGCTTTTTTTAAATCTTTGACTTTTTTTGTAATTGAGCATCACATTTGAACCAAATTTTCTGCCTTGTCACAAAACGTTTACGGATAGTGGACACTGCCCCTTTTTTAGAGTTCGATCTCTTAAAGATGTATATTGTTGTACAGATGTGTTTTTTTTTTTTCTTACTCACGATTTTTTGCACGATCTGTAACTTTCAATCTCATCTTATGTACACATACACATTTTAAGTATCTGCTTGGCTATTTACCATTGGATTTTTGTAATGACTAGTTTGTGGAATGCGTTTGTATATTGTGTATGATGGGATATTTTTTTTAATATGTATAGTAAGAAAAGATGTAATGTTCTTTCTCAGGACCAGCAATTTGTGAAAAAAAAAACCTAACAAAAACAACAAAACTATATTTTCTTAATTTCTGTACATATTTAATAGAACATTTTAGGTTTGGTTTGCATTTTAGGCATTTTATGCACTGTTAAACAACTTTCTTTAATCCAAAGTTCACAAAATTTGGCTTTGCTACCTCAGATTTTTCCAGTTGAAAACAATGTAAAAATTAGTTTTGTTTTTAGTCAGTTTTTGGAAACTAGTTTTCAGGCACTATGTGAAGTATCCCAGTATCTTTTGCAAAATCATAATTGTGTGCTGTGAACAGAAACGTTGAGCTATGAACTTCAATCTTGTACAAGGTAGCATCACTTTACATTTTCATTAAGGTTTTAATTTAAAACATCAGTGCTCAACTGTGAATGTGTAATGTAAGGCTTTTCTTAACTTATCTTTTATGCAAGTATATCACTTGTGGGCATAACAATGATATACTTGTCCAATGTCCTAATGAGAGTTTGAAATAAGTATTTATAGCTAAGATGAGCTTTTACTTTATCGCAGTGAAAAGAAGCATTGTACAATGTTATTATTTATCTGGTTAAATTTTAGAGTGTTCTCTTTTGTTAAATTTTGTTATCTGACGAGCAATTTCTGTAAAAATGCCATTTTTAAATACCCATTATTAATTAAACCACTCTAGACAAACCGTCTGCCATGTCTTGCCACAAAATCAAATGTACAGATTTACATTCTTTTTATATAAGTATATATATATATATATATTTTTCTTTTTTCTTTTTGGTAGATATTTAAAGTTGCATTCATTTTGACTGTTGAGCCTAAATTCCTATTGTAGCTGTTAGGCTGATGATACACGGGGCAACTTTTTGGGCAATGTTGCCGCCAACGGGCAACCAGATGAGACACAGGGCCCATGACCTATCTATTCCAGATAGACATTTGTTATCCACTCTTAATGTGAAAGTGCCCAAGCATCATTGCTCAAAAAAAGTTGCCCGGCAAAATGTGTATCATCACCTTGTATCATCAGCCTAAGTGTAATGTTTACCATCCTCTTTTTATTCCATTACATTATCCTTTTTTCCTGTTAATAATTCTACTCTCTCTGCTCAGGTGATTTGTAACTGATCAATGTGTTATCAAAACAAGAAAAGAAGCTTGTTGTCATAAACTCTATTAAATGTTCCATTTCTCTTCCCTAAATGTAGACTATTTGTAAAGGCTTCAAAATTCATATTTTGGCAGGATGCAATATTACATAAGTAAAAAAAAAAGGTAGTAACACATAATTCTGTAAGAATGACAGAATTTTAAATTATATTTGACAATATCCCACAGTAAATACAACATAGCTCGTGTCTTTTTTTTCATCATTTTAGATTTTAGTATCTTTTATGTTTTATTCGTATAGGATTTTTAAATTGTTTTATTTTATGTAGGTACGTTTTTGTATTTAATTATGTAGCAAGTTATTTATGTAAAAAAAAAAATTGGCTTTCTTTGTGGCACAACAGACTCTTGTTTAGCAGCCCTCTGGATCAGTTCCTTAAGTGAGTACTTTGTAGATTCAGTAGATACTCTGACAGATTCGTTTAGTTCATTCAGTGGATCATTCAAAATTTGGTGATTTTTAAACGATTAATTTTAATGAACCGATTCACAAGAGTCATTTGTTCGGGAATCGGGCTATACCTAGGTACGTTTGCAGCACGTGAGGAGCGCCGCCGCTGAAAAGCAGCGCATGAAAACACCGCTGTGATCTGCGACCGACGTATGTCATGTGATAAATACGTAAATATTTTTTATTTTTCTGAAATTGTATGAAGCGCTCCAACACTATCACCGTTTGCGTGCCGCACTTCTGCGGCCGAAGTTCAAAATGGTCGGATTATGCGCTTTAATTTCTGACGTATCTCATATTTAAACAGGAAGTTTGGGCGGGAAATATCGAAGTTTAGTTCGGTCACATGCTCCATTATTGTTGTCAGTCGGTTGCAAAGTACAGTAATCTCTTTTTTTAAACTGTCTTTGTACAACAAGAGATGCGTACATATTCCTCAGAAATCCTCCTTTTGTGGACCCACCGAAGAAAGATCGAGGTTTGAAGGGTGAGTTAACATTGATTAGTCTCATTTTTATTCCTTACTAGGGCCTGTCCCCATACTGGAGTCTTGCGGATCCGTGATAGATCAGAATCATCAGTGATCATTCTTATGCATTAGCTACAGTCTAGCACTAGATGTCAGCAATGTGTTGTACAATTGACGTAAGGTTTGCTCTGTGATAGGTCAGCTGGCATAAGGATGTTTTATTTTGGGCACCTGGGGTGAAGGATCTAGTGTCAAAGTATCACTTCTCTCATTAAGGGAAATGACAAAGTGACTGATGCATGAAACCATTTCATTCCTTGGCCAGTGTGCAACAAATGAAGTACCCATGAATGTGCACATTAGAAAGCTAATTGGTTTTAGTGTCATGCTAAATTGTGCTTTATTAGAGACAGCATCCGTTAGCCTGGATTTGTGTGAAGTGCTTCTCACTTTTCAACTAGACTTTTCTTCTTTCCTGTGACAATTTCTTAAGAGTTTAGCTCATTTTTAACACACCGTTTCCGTGACTGTATAAATACCCATTTGACTGAAGTGAAATGTTGTCGTTTCATGTGAAATTGAGTCAAAAATTTGCTCAATTGTGTTTCATAGTTGCAAACACTCCAAGCCGAGTGCATTTATCATAACTCGCCAGGGACTGATATAAAAGGTTACCCATTGTTTCCTCTCATACAGAGCAAGATGGGCATTTTTAATAGAGCCCAAACATTGGATGTGGACATAAATCTGAGACCGTATGTGACCTCTAGTAATATGTGGTTTTATCTTCAGTCTTTGTGTTCTTTTTTGCAGCATGCTGCGGTTGATTGAGTCCATTTGCAGTTTATTACAGCACTGGAAATTATAGGAATTTGTCCAGCTTTGGTACTCTTTGGCGTCGCTGGCAGAGCATGAGAGCGGAGCTGTTGTGCGTTGAGAAATGCATTCGAGATGCAGTTTAATTTTGCAACGACACATCCATCTGATTGGGGGTGGGAGGGAGTTCACTGATGTTGAAAGTAGTGTGCATGTATAGCTGTTTCACAAACCCAATGAAAGCGAGCACTTAAACTTTGATTTATCTAGCTGTTTTTGTTTGTTTACTTGATACAGAAATGAATAATGGTTAAAGAACAAATGCGGCATTAACACATTCCTATTAATCAGAATCACACAGACTTTTTTTTTTTTTATCAGCTCTGACTGCTCCTCTTTTTGGGTGGCGAGAGGTGGTGCGTTGGTTTTTCTCAGCTTGGAGCTGGAGAAATTATAATTATGCTGCTCCAGATGGCTTGCATATTGTGTTGCTGTTGGCGGGCCTTGAAAGAGCTTTCATCTTTATCGCACAATAAAATCATCTCGGTGAGCAGACACGTCAAACTTAAAGACGCAGCCATAATAACATCTCTAGAGGTCTGCGCATTTCCTGCAGCCAGCCCTCTTCTTTCAAAGTGTAAAACGAGAGTGACACTGATGATGCTCGCGAGAAACTGAGAAACTGTGACTCGCTCTTACTGTTAATCCTGGCGGACAATGCCAAGAAAAGCCCAAGGGGGAAGATGTATGAGGTCCTTGTCCTTATCAGCTCAGCAGGCTCTCAGAGGGCAGAGCGGTTGTGGCACCTCCAACGATCATTGTGCTCACCGACCCACCCTATTATCATGTGTGCTCGCTGATATAACAGTGACATCAATCTGCCGTGAACCAGACCATACCTGTGCCAAGTTAAACAATCAAAGCCGTGCATAAGGTGCCCTGTGAATTCACACACCCACGCAAAAACACATGCCCGCATATTTCTCTCTAGGGACGCAGGAGTTCATTTGGCAGGGAACCTGTCATGATCTGTGCATGTCATTTTTCTCACCAACCTGCTGTTCTGGGGGTTTTACAGAGCTTACACTTTTTTGCTAAACATTTCGGCTCATTTCAGACTTCATCTGAAAGACCTACTACACAGTAGGCACAGACCTACAGCATTTAGACATTCAAGTCCTATTAAGCATCTGGTCACAAGGTAAGTCTGCATAAGTAATTTGCATCTAATACAAATATTATGTCCGTTTTGAAGCAATATGTGGATTTATTTTTGCAGTAATACTCCTAATGCTCTTTTCAGTAGGATTATGACATAATTAAATCACTGGCTTTGTGAGTTTTCAGGGATATGAAGCTGGTTGCAGGGTTAGCCGTGCTGTGGCTGTGGGTTGCGGAGGCTGTGGAAAACTGCCCCAGTGCTTGTAAATGTAGTCAGAAATCCAGTACGGAAAAGACTGAAGTCAATTGTCAAAAGAAGGGACTTGACAGCATCCCACCTAAACTCCCTCTGGACACATGGATCCTTAAAATTGGTGAGGAGAGACTGCTAACTTTTTTTGGGAAGACATGTTCTTAGTTAGTACTAACCCTCATGACAAAATGTAAAGGAACAAGAAAATATAATAAATTAAACACTTCATAAATCATGGACCTTCATGTAGCCATATTCCACTGCTTAATATTAGACAATATCATTGTTTTTACTGTGTTTTTGATCAATTAAATGCGGTCTTGGCATGAATACGTTTTTCAAAAACATTGAAAATATTTCTCTGACTCCAAAACTTTGAACAGTAGTGTACATTAAAAAAATTATACCCTTCTGGGGGAAAAAAAACTTAAACCTGCACCAGCCTACTGTGGTTAGCTGGACTATTTGACCAGTTTATATGGGTTTTTTACTTTTCAGGTCATAAGGTCAGGAAACCAGCTAAAAGCAGGTAAACAATACATACAATAAATTGCAATAATTATGGTAATTTGACTGTTAATGTGGTTACCGTGATAATTCTTCTTCACTTTTATTCCATTAGTTATTATTCCTGTCCCAGTGCTCAGACACAAACCTCTCACTTGTGTTAAAACTTGTGTAGTAATTTGTGAGGTATATTACACTAAAGAATGGACGAATTAAAGAGTGTTACTCTCTCAAGTGAATAAGTAGATTTGTACATCTTCTGAAGAAAAAAGAAAATCAACCACAATGATGCTAGGTTGTTATGGATTTTTGCAAGGCCATTGCAAAGGTATTTGAAATGGTTATTAGCGCATTAATAGGGTGCACTTTGTGGTTGCTAAGGAGTTGCTAGGGTATTTTGGGGTGGCTGCTAGGTACATACCCTCAAGTCTCTTTGATATTCTGGTCTCTAGATATGGCTCTGGTTCCTCATTCAAAATCTATGTGATCCGTAGACTCAGCTGCAGAATTTGAGGTATTGTCTGTATAGAGTGCAGTGGTGCCATCCACTTTTTCAGCTTCCAAATGCATTTTCCCTTAGGTTTCTCCCATAGGTTATTAATTAAAAACCAATTCCCCTATGGAGAAAAGGAATGGGATTTTTACTCTATTGTGGGGGTTGCACTCTATTGTTTGTTTAAATTCCTTACCCTAAGTATAAGCATAGTGATGTTTACTTCAACACCACTAATTAAACCCTCCTCTTTTGCTTCCTTTTGTTTCTTATTTTCAAGGTGAAAATTTACTGCAGGACCTCCCAGCCAACATCCTGAGCTCTGTCCCAAAAATTGAGAGTGTAAACTTGGAGCGAAACTCAGTCAAATCAATACACCCTCAAGCATTTGCTGGTGCCCAGCGACTGATGCTTCTGAATCTGCAAGGAAACCGAATGTCCAAACTCCCAGAGAAGGGCTTTAAAGATCTCCTAAACCTACGCTTTCTCATGCTGGGCCAGGATCTGATAGCTAGCTAGCCTGAAACCTAACATATTCATTGGCATGAGGAACCTCTCAGAGCTGGATCTGCCTCTGAATGCCCTCACTGCTCTCCCACCAAATGCATTCAAGCCTCTGATTGCCCTCAAAGTCCTCGATCTAGCCTTGAACCACATCCAAAGCATCTCACCCAAAGCCTTTGTCGGACTTGAAGAACTGCTTTTTCTCAATTTGGACAACAAGAAGCTGAAGAATATCCAAGCTGGGACCTTTGCACCCCTGATTGGTCTTGAGATGCTGGTGCTAGACAACAATTTTCTCTGCACACTTACCGTGGCCACATTAGAAGGTCTTTCCAACCTGCAGGAACTCTATGTGAGAAAGAACGAAAT